ATTTTAGCTTTAGCACTAACATTTTTGGAAGTATAACATGAGCATTCCACTTATTTAAGATTTTTGCACAATCAGTTCTAAACTTTAATGCTACACTCCTTAAATAACAATTTTTCATTATTGATGTTACCGTGGCAAAAATTTTAACTATTTAGTTTTATACTTTTTCTGTACGATTTCCCTGTGTCTTTTAATTTTATAACAATTTTTTTTCTTGATGACATGATTATAGTATATTTGCAAAACTTGTCAATATGCTTTTTGAACTAACTTGAAACTAAAATTGGAACTATAAAATCTTATAAAACAGAACGTTACATTTTTACAAAATAACTAAAAATATATGCAAATTTCTATAGGCTAAAAAAGAAATATTTATGTTGATTCAACTTCTATTCTAAATACGTTAATATACTAATATATTATGTAATGTAATATGTAATATAAATATAATTCTCAGCTAGTTCAACATCAATATGTAAACGTTTATACGAGAGTGCATTTTTAATTTCTTATGATAAATTAGATATTATTTTTATGAGAGTGCATTTTTAATTTCTTATGATAAATTAGATATAATTGTAAATATTTCAAGGGTTGAAATAACTAATATAATAATATAATAATAAAAATGATAAACTTCAATGATTTTCCTTCAATTTTCTCACAAGTCTTTTGAAAGTAAATATTAAAAATTTTAAATAGATGAGCAATCAAAATCGCAATTGTTGAAGATGCCTCAACCTGCATAAAAGATGATTTAAAATTCCTTGTTGTATGCCAACGAGCCAAAATATTGTTAGATATTTTGAATTACATTGAAAGACGATAATTTGTTTATAATAAATGTCGCGAATAGTTTTTTCTCTCGTCTTTTTCGCTTAACAAATTCGATCATGCAAAAATTGCACTTTCTTTTTAATTTGAAAATACGTTATTCGTATGGATCGATACATTATGATAGTAGGAATATTAAATTTTTTACGATTGTTGACTAGATAGATAGTCTTCTCATCGCGCAATACTTAAATCTAATATAGTGTTACAACTTCGATAATGATTCGTAATTCTTAGCAAAATACAATGCAATGAATAGTCTAATGTAAAAATCATAAATATTCTGCTTTGTTGATATTTGTACAAGATATAAAATATGAGTTATATTTATTTCATTTGTCGCGATCTTTTCGTATAGAATTTGTATATCTTTCGATTTTATCGATTTGTAGTAACATACCTCTATGTTATTGTAAAATTTCGTACTTTCTTGTTTTATAACATAAGTAAAATAATAAATGCCATAATTATATAAAATGTAATTAATTTTAATTGACGAATAACCATTACCTTTCTGTTTTTCTTTTTTTTCCTTTTGTAAAAACATTTTGTAGGATTAAACATTAAAGAATTCGATTTTTAAGAGCGCATTAAGGAACAGTACTTAATTTTTTTTTTTTTTCATAATGATACAAACTTTGAACTCGAAAATCGAAAGGCACAAGTGACTAGAATTCGTAAAAATTCGTATCTAAATAGTACAAAAGTGGCAAAATTTACCGACATATGTAACAAAGCACACAAAAATTCTCGATCTTAGCAGATCGTACAATGTTTATACAAATTATCACTATCAACGTATAACAATGTTCAAATTTCAATTTGTTACCTGTTAATACTCTATTTCGAATTTTCTAGTTTTCCATTTTTCTGTCTCTTGAAATTTGAACATCTCGTAAAATTGATAATCGTCGAAGATTCCAGTAGAAACTAGCATGTTAATTCAATTAATTAATTAGCTCAAAATATTATCGAACACATATGTCTTAAAAGTCTTCATGTGTTTAAAAAATTCTTTTTCATCTCAAATCGCTAACATGTTAGTGACTTGAATTCTCGAACGTAACTTTAATTGTCGGTCTTATTCTGGATCTAATTACTTCTGTTTATACAATTAAAGCAATTAACTATTTCGTACGCTCTCAGATAGATCAGGGTAACATAAACATGTTTGAACAAAATTTTAGCTCGTGTATCATTTGAAAATATAT